CCTGTTTTGACTTGTACAGTTTGTAGTCTGTCTTTTGTGTTTATTTTTTTACCATAGTAACATGCCCAATCATTGCCATCTATATTATGTGACCATCCTGGTAATGTTTCGCTGCACACACTGGTGTAGTTTTCACCACTTTTTACATATTTAGAAAATGCAAAATACTTTCTGTTGTTCAGAACAACTTCAAATCCTTGATTATACACGAGTATCCAGACTCCTTTGTTGCCATAGTTATCAAATGCTACATCTGGGAAGTACAGCTCTATTGTTAACTTCTGTAACACTGGAGCTGAAACAAAGAAAAAGAAAGAGAGAAAAAAAATTTCATAACTGAGAACTAAGAAGAGAAATTTTATCAAAGTAATTAATCTCATTCCAAATAGACCATTTTCCGTACACTGCGAGAATCACGCGTTATACATGAAATCGAACGTAAAAACAGGACAAACAAAGGTCATAGCGTCGTAGTCGCGTCAAACATCGCGTGGGATTCGACAAACGCGAAAGTATTTCGGGGACATTTCCATGCTTAATAATGTGCTGTCCACATTTGATGATAGGCAATTTCGATTAAGTGAGGGTATTCAAAAGCAATATTCCTCTGTCGAAGATCGGCCGGTCAATGTAAGCTGCGAAATAAAGAAATTATAGTTCAAAATCAAATCGTTCGATTTTTGCGGCAGACATTCGACGCGCGTCTTTCATGCATCTCGCGAGATCTCGCAATTGTTCGGAAAATCACCTATTTGTAGATGATCAGATGAAAATTTTTTGTTTGACATGTTTGACCTTTTTTTCCCCTCGACAATAACATCAGGTTTCACGAAGACGTGAATTTGTTTTATGGCCATTTATATATTTAGAAAACATACTGTGGAATACTTTATTTTCGCTGGAATTAATTTTCGCTGAAAAGGCTTTTTGGGCGTTTTGTGTGGAATTTATTTTCGCTGATTTTTGATGAGTTTAATGTGAAATATAGGAAAAAAAGTATATTCGCTGGATTTTATTTTCACGGAAACATCCCTTCAGCGAAAATAGCGAAAATAAATTCCAAGCGAAAATAAAGTATTCTACAGTATATCCCAAAATGTTTGATAAAATAAATTTAATAGTATGCAGGTACATGCAGTACCATTATTGTTTGGCACAGAATATTAAATTGTGAAAACAAGCCAATGTCTAAGGACAGATATCTGGTAAACTGACAGCAATGGAGTTCTATGCACTTAGTATTTATCTACCAAGGCTTGTGATTGGTCAAGTTGTTTTTAATGATCATTTGACATTTATGAACATTTATATTGATTTTGTACAAAACAAATTCATGCCTTCATGAAACCCAATGTAACCCATTCCTTTTATATTTAAAAATATCTATTCAAATTCAAGATTTCTATTTACTGATGGAACAACATTTTTAAATTATATCATTGTGCAATGCACTTGTTGACTGGCTAGTTGGATTCAACTTCAGGATGGGTTTCCGAGATATTTTTCAAGACAAATTATCCTAGCTTGCTAGAAATAATCTCGTATTTTGAAACGCTCAACACACCTGTAAAACCTGTGCAGTTCACTGAATTATCATGACCAGTTTCACCGATGGAAAACTCCCAGCTGCCGAGAATGGAGTCGTATGTACAGTTACCAGGGGTATCACCATACACCAATGGCAGAATGAATACGCATATTAAAAAATATTTGGTAATCGAAGCCATATTTTAAATGCCAGCTAGTACAAGATAAAAATGAAATAAAAGTATGTTATAACACTCCATTGCAACAGGAAGCATTGAAACAAATTTATAAAATAAAGATCATTTCCCCTTCCATCACAGTCTGTGGTTGTGATAGAGGAACTGTGGTTGAACCCATCTCAGGCTCCAGGTGCAGGGTCGGAGCGATCAATATTGTGGGCGTTCATGATTGCACTCGAAAACAAGGCACGATAAATTCAGAAAATGTGAGTGTAAACATGGTGTTCATATGATACGAAATCGACCGTTATAAAAGGAATATAACCCGTAACTAAATGGACAATACCTGAAAGATGTGTGAACGCACAGTCGTAACGAAAGTGGGTGAAAAGTTGGCGGATTTCATTCCCCCTAGCCTACGTAACTTTTTAGCATCCCAAACCAAAACAATTGTTTCTGACGAGCAATACTACTATTAAATTGCTACTGTGCGTTAAATATATAATATTGTGAAATACAAACTGATTTATCATTCAGTGTAGGAATTCAACTAATATTAGAATAATAAGACACAGAGCATTTTAAACATTTCGAAGGCTCGTCATTACTAAGTTAGAGGGCTCCCCGATCACCTTACGTCACCTAGCGAGCTTCAACAGTCACATGACGATCTAAAGTGTCTGTGTGTCGGTATATCATTTCAATAACGTAGAGGAGTACACGCTCTGGTTTGATTCTAATTTTGAGGGGGTAATATCTAAAAGTAGCCAAAATGTTGGCGTTTTTCAATAGAATACTGGACTGGCTTAAGAGCCTATTTTGGAAGGAGGAAATGGAGCTGACGTTAGTAGGTTTACAATACTCCGGAAAAACGACGTTCGTCAATGTTATCGCGGTAAGCAACTCAAATAGTACTTTCTCTTACAAAAAATCAGCTGCATTTATTCACGTCCATCTTTCGTGGATGACCAATTTTCACTTGATCAGTCGATGTAGTCTTTGCTAGATTATTGTAGAATGGTGTTTCCTATCGGCGCGTTTCCACATTGTCTCCAGAACAAGCAGCTTGCTTTACTCGAGGTGGGAGTTAACTTCCTAGTTTGGACTACTGCGCAAGATCGGCACCGTATCCCCAGTTCCCAGTGATGACACCATTTCATAAACAGATGCACCCCCTTTCCGACTCGAAACGAAAACTAGAAATTATTAATTATTCGTTATGCTTAGTTCAACCATATATAGACACGTAGTAGTAACATACTGAATGTGTCTGATCCATGATTCACGTGAATTTGTCTTCTCAATCTTAGAGTCAATTTGTTTAAATGTCAGCGTTCTTTGTTTTCTTGCAGTCTGGGCAATTTAGCGAAGACATGATACCCACCGTAGGTTTTAACATGAGAAAAGTCACTAAAGGAAATGTCACAATCAAGGTAAACCTATAGAACCAGTATTCCTGTGAGTGTCGTCAATTCCAAAATCAGTGCATTCACCGCTGATACCTTGATCAGGTTACCATGTTAGGTAGTAGTAATGTTGTAATTTTACAATGTATGCATAAGCATAGAACAATGATATAAAGTGGTGAATATGGTAATGCTGTCAATTGCATGTTTTAAAGCCCAGTAGGCATAGGAAATGAAATATGGGGCATGTCTCAATGTCCTCTGAGTCATTGTCCTAAGATGTTTATGGATATGTTAATCAATATTTAAACATTGTATTCTGTTGATTGATATATATAATTATTTATGCAGCCAGATTTATAGTCTGGTGTTGATGGCCTTTCAATTACCGGTATATTGAAATTATCTCTAGTTTGTAACTGGTTTCACTAATTATTATATCTGTGTCAAAAGATTTAATCAGTCTGTTTCATGTT